TTGAAAATACTGAATCCACATTTACAAACCCATGAAGCAAATAATTAAGCGGTTTTGATTTATCGCTATCTGATGATAAATAGCTTTGTAAATCAATTTCCATAGGATATTCATGACGATCATTTATCTTTAGTGTATTTATTTATTAGTATAATTTATTACTGTATATAATTTTTCAATCAACAAATTACTGGATTAAAGGCTAGAGGTCATAATAGATACCTTAACTGTTGTATCTTTTTCCATATCATATTCAAACCGTTTTAATTGTATTCGTAATACGGGAGGAAAACTTTCAAACACTACTCCTTTCTTTGCATCCTATAGATAAATAGAGTCAAACCCTTTTCATTTAATGTACATTGTAACCAAAATATAACTTACTTGTAAACCATAGGTTTCAGTTTGGTATTTATTATTTCCTTCACAAGATTCTTCACGAATATATTCTAGGAAAGAATCATTTAAAGTTTTGCATCCTTTTACTTCAAGTTGAATATCTATCATGATAAATTCAAATGTTAGGTTAACCCAATTTTAAAATTCATAGTTATATGTATTACATATTTTCACTAGTACCATAATAATTTTCAATACGTGAGTTTTCAAAATTTACGTTGACACACCTAGTATAACTCTTCATTTTTCCTACAAAGAGTTCAGAGATAGCACCATTTACACATGTATCCTTAAACCCAGATATAACAGATATGTGTTAGCCAATATATGAAGAAAAAATTTTAATGAATTGAAGTTTTGTTTAATTCAATAAATAATAAGCCTACTTTCATTTTATCTTCTAAATTATCAAGTAACACATTATCAAACTCCTGTACATCATGCGGCATATAACAATCTGATGAATCCCATCCAAATGATTTTGTTAATTCAGTTGTTTCAACTAATGTATTAGATATTTGTAATTTATAAAAAATCCTTTGCAAAGCCAAAGGAATACTTTTATTTGGATCGTCATCTTCTGTTGGGATTTGATATATTGCCTATAATCAAAAAAAATGGATGGCATTAGATTTGATGTAAACCAATTTATTTTCAGATCAAATAGAAGATGCTAACCTTACGAAAGTGTTTTATACTATATAATAATTGCAACTCGACATTTAAATAACTTGTTGCTCCCTGGTTTTTTAGGCTAACATATCCAGTCACTTTTTTTGAATCGTAACTATATAAAAAAAAAGGTTACATGAAAAATAAATGTAAAGTCATAATTTAATTTTAATTTTAAAGATGATAGAATACTTTTTAAAGTTATGCCATAAGACACCAGTTGGGTCCTTTATAATGCGAACAAAGGCTGTAATATTACAGGTGTCATTTTCTATTAATGGATGAGGACGATTATCTGATGGGACAAACAGTTTATTTTGTTCGTAAAATTGTGTAAATCCCCAATCATCTTCTTCGGCAGTGAACCGATGATGCGCATCTATAAATAAAAATTATTATAAGATATTAGTATAGTAGTACTGATTATCAAATGGTAAATAATTTAACACGTACAATTAACAACGCAGAATGTTGGGTCTTTTGGGTTCCATAACGCCAAAGCAAATTGCGCACAGCAATGCCAATCGGCAGGAGCTTCATTTTTATCAACAAAATCCAGATAAATTGAAACAGCTTTTGGATTATTGTTTCCACAAGGAAAAAGTAAAATGCGCCTATAATTTAAGTATAATATAATTAGAACAATGAAATTATATTCAAGTTATGTATTTAAGTGAACCTACCATTTCCAACCTCCAGCTTCAAATTCAGGACCTGTTATTCTCTTTTCTAAACCTGCCCAATTTGTGATTTGCCACGTATATTCTTGATAATCCTCAATTTCATAGTGATTGCCAAGATGTGGCATATTTGCAATGGTTGTGTCTGCAATTTATTAAATTATAACAATAAAACGTTAACATCGTAATGTAATTATAGTTAAAAGATTTTTTTCAAGCCTTATTATGAACTAATTATACTGATTATAATACTATAAAACGTACAATCTTTAATCATGCTAGTTATTTTAAGAAATTTTGTATATAAAGTTAAATGAGAGACAATTGTGAACTTTTAGATATGCTAAAAAGTAATTTACTATATTTTGATTTACAACTTAGTCAATCTTAAAATAAATTACCATAATGGTTACACCACATTGCGATTTTGGAAATTTCATTGAAGGGCATTTCAGTGCATATGTGTACTTCTGTGGCTCGTAACACGAATTCTATGAGAATTCTAAATGGTAGTTTATTGTGACAATAAATTCTTTCCAAGTTTATAACAAAATGTTTCTTGTGTGCTGCGTACGTATAGGCAATGATAATTAATTATTAAATATTGTTAATGTTAAAAATTCTAATCGTTCTCCTTATGTCTACGTATTTTTTAAATGTTTATTTTTTGTCGAATTTTATGCCATACATATAATTTAGTATTCATTTATCGTTAAAAACCACAATGATAGTGGAAATTAATAACAACTATGTGGCGCCAAGGGAAATCAGACTTTGGGCTTTCTATTTATCGAAATTGTTCCTGACCAAATGCCAATTAAATTTATTTATAGTGCGGATGGATGTGTGTGTATATAAGCTAGTTATACACACACATATCTATGATACCGCACACTTTGATTGTATAAAACATAAAAATCATAGCGAGCATGAATACAAGTAATCACATGAAATGACGTTTAATATCTTTAATAACAAATTTAAATGAAATTCCATTCGCACGTAACGGCTTCTTAGTAAAATGAAATATTCGAATAACTTTATTATTAGCACCGAATTTAATTTCATTTTGTGGTATTCCCTAAATATGAATTATGTTATTTTCCAAAAATAAAAATAATGGGTATTTCAGAATTAACTTATTTCGAAAGTAAGTGTGTTTAAAAGATCCTGATTCTATTATAAAGTTCGAATCAAGAAATTAAATGGTGTACCCGGTAATTTTTTTGATAAATATCTACCATTAAACAGTTATGTAAATAAGTTTATACTTTAAAAAAATATAGTATTTATGGATCACGTAAATACGTCATTTATTTAATTCTGAAACCTCTCAATACGTATAATAAATATCCATATTTCTCAAGAAAATAAAAACGTATGACGTTATGCATACTAATATTCGCCCATCTTTCTACGTATCAGTATTGGTTGCATTTAGTGCGACTCGAATCGGTTAAGCTATAATTGGTTAACCGACCCGAACCGAATAAATTTCGGGTAACCGGTTGAGGAAATTCTTAATCGGTTGACCCGGTACAACCGGCTGGCGGGATCTGAAAATAACAAAATGATGTAATAAAGAGAGGGTAAATGGTCCGAAAAGTTCCGAAAAATAAATGAACGAACAAAAATTAGAGTAAAGCTCCGAGAATTTCCGAAGGTAGTAGAGTATTAATCTTAACCGGTTGGCAACCGGTTGAATGAAAATTATTCAGTTCGGTTAACCGATTAAGGAAAATTTTCTCGGTTCAAATCACTAGTTGCATTGACCTTTGGTCGAACAAAATCACCAAGCCACTTATTACATGCATTAAATTGACCAATATTACCGAACTGGTTTAAAGTTTCCTTATTTGGGAGAGCATTTGAAACGAAGCAACTAAAATTGTTAGAATTGCTCAGAGGTTGAGGAGACAAGTATTATAGATAAAGCACTCGGTTAATGTGAGACTAGACTTTATTTATATTACAATTTGGAATCAATAATATACATATGTATATGTCGATAATTAGATTTTAAAAAAATAAAGATAAAATGTATTATTAGTCAATTGATTATAAAATGGAGTCATTTCATAAACGTAATGCAATTAAACTTAGATTAAATCAATGTACT